TATTTCATATTTTTGTTTAACTTTTACAAAATTTGATATGAATAGTCAAAATAATAAATGGTAATAAGTTAAGAGCGAAATTTATATAAAATTATTAAATTATATAAGAATATTAAATTTTGCACTAATTGATATCTTAGCATTAACTATTAAGCTTTGCCAAATGTTACGAAAGAGGCTTTTACAAATATGTGATCCTCCAAACGTTTCAATTTTATTGGTTAATTATTAATATATTTAAAAATATAAAAAGAAAGTATTTGACAAACTCATCCACTGTAATGGTTTAACAGTTTTCATCGAATTACTTCTCATATACTATCCCCAATTTGCTGTAGGTATCTGTCATAGAACTGCAGTATGCAAAAATTAGCATTCCGCATCTGCTGTGAGCGCATTAAAACATGCAAATTTGATATATATATATATATATATATATATAGCAGATAAAATTATTAAAAAAAATGCAAATAATCATATAGCATGTTCCATAAGATATTAATTTTCAGTTTTAAAAAAAAAAAAACTATTTTTTCCTGCACGTTCCCGTACAAGAAACAACTACTTTAGTTTACATTTGTTTCCATCATTTACCCAATATTATTCCTTCAGATTAAAGCTTACCCTTTATGCTTTTGCGGCCATTTTAGGACCATACTAGATGCTAGAGCTATACCCTTTTCGTAGTTCAAAAATTCCTTGTTCCTTCGCCACAATAATCTCATTAGGCCAGACCATGACATATACAAATTAATCAAAACTAATAAACTTCTCTACTCTCAACTATTCACGGATTCGCCATTGCAAAATCAATTAACCAATCATCCATGATCATAAGCGGAATCATTCTTGGACAAATACAAGACCAACTTCTCAACTGGTAACAAAGGACCACACTGAAAAGAATCTTCCCAGTTATGGTGGAGGAGTCCAATGTGTCCATATGTATGTTATAATTTTGTACTATGAGATATACTGAGTAAGATAAGGATTCTAGTCTAGATTTCGGTGATGAGGCAGATCATGAACCATCTATTTTTCTCTCATAAAGATTCCTTGAATCCAGTATGATCTTCAGCCAATTATCACGGCTAACCCCATTACCATACATTGTGGCCAGGATCCAGTGATCATGATTGATGCAACATGCAACTTGGCAGTGAGAGTGTACATTCACTCAAAAATGTTTTCAACTTCGTGTTAGAAGACACTTTATAATACAACCATTAGTGAGTGGTTTAATTTGTCTTCCATTACAATGTTAGAAGATATTTCATTCTATTTAGGCTATGAGGTGTGGGGCATAAGGTCTCTGCAACTCATATGTGGTACCTCTCATCTCTCATTTATATGTATATAAAAATATTTTTTAATTATATTTTATAGTTTTTAATTTTGATAAAATTTCACATTGATAATTGAGACAGTATTTAATTAAATTTAATAGTTAAATAATAAAAACTCATACTTTATATAAGGTTATTGATAGAATAAAAATTGGTATAAGTTATATTAATATAAGATAATCCCTCTTCACTCTTTCTCTCTCTCAATAGCCTTATTTTAAGAAATTCATATCTAATCAGTGTAAATAATATCGTATTTCTAAAAACTAGTGCTTGGATTTTAATGTGCGCTGTTTACTACTCTTGAACTTTCAGATTAATTTCAAACATAAAGTTCAATCTGCTATAGAATTACTACACGTAAAGAATGAGATTGATGATACATGACATCAAATTGAATGCATGTTTGGAGTACTGTCACTAGAAAGTACATTATTAAAACATAAAATAATTATTAAGTCTCATACGAAATTAACTTTCTCATGCTGATAATAATAATAATAATAATAAAAAGACTTTCGCATGAAATTAACATTGTAGTTGTCTTCTTCTAAAAGAGAGTAACAATCCTTATTGTTGCACATCGAAAAGATATTTTCAGCGAATTATGAAAGTATATAATTATCAAAAATCAATATTTTTAGTATCCAAAATATCATCGAGCACTGTTTTGAGCTAATTTAGAAGAATATATACTACACTGAAGCCTACTTGCTAGATATTAGAAAAACAATAGTTCTATATATGGTGGTGGCAATCTAAACCAAGTTGCTAGTATCACTACACCGACCTCAGAAATATGCTTTGGTACGTATGCTTTAGCCTTTTTCCAAAATGGAAAAAGTTATTTAGTCTTTTCCCTAGAATTCAATCATATTAATTCTTCAATAAAATACATTGAATATTCATTTTTAATATAATTAAACTCAGGAGAAACTTGATTCTTACTTACCACTCCGTCTCATGCTTGTTTAGCATACGAAGGTTAATGATCTTGGATGCTCATGTTCTCAAACCATATTTTAATTTAAGATATATAAGATGCAACAAATTTGTACATAACATCATCAATTAGACGAAACACTCAGTAAAAAAATTGAGAAAAGAGAATTAAAAAGAAAAGAAAACGAATGAAATTGAAACCAGTGATAATGACATGAACAAAGTAATTATTCCTAATTAAATGGAAAATTTGTTTCTATTGAAAGGATAGGAAACATGCACAGTCATTTGCCAGAAGGCTATTATAACAACTAGCAAAATCTAGTTTGTAACTGCAAAAGAAAATTAACACAGCAATTAATTATGCTTAAACATTCAAGGAATGAAGCTTGCCTGCAACTTAACCAAGATATGAAACTCTTGCAAGATATAGAAAACACTTTTTCCTTTCAGCAGCTCTAATGCCAAAATTTAAAGCTCATCTTTAGATGCTTTTGTCTCACTCACTAACACTCATTAGAAACTAAGTGGTCCTGTCCAAAGACCTGAAAAAGGTTTATTATTTCCTACATCACAGTATACCCATTAGCCTTTTCAAGAACAAAGTTCAGGTCTAATCATTCATGACTTCTTTTGGAAAAAAGGTTAATGAAAGTCTCTGTCACTTTGCTGCCTTTCACTTGCCATGAACAAACAGATATATGACTTAAATTATATTGTTGTTGAATGTGGATGTTCCTTATGGCCAAACAAGATGAAGAAGCCAGCTAGACTCAACCCACGTGTTTACTTTTACCAAAGGGGAAAACTCCATACATGTATCGTGTTTGTATGAGGCCTCACCAAATTAAGAAGCTAAAGATAATGGCCTCTATACCGTAATTAGTATTTAATGATTAGAGGCACATCCAGAAGCCTATAGTTATGCTTCATGACCCTGCCCCGAGGTAACAGCAAAAGACCGAGCAAATAGATAATAGAGGATATATATTTATATATAAAGTGTACTATAGGCGAAACCATGTAAATGTTCATATAATCAAAATTGATGGTCAAGATTAGACTTCAGTAAAATAATCCTACATGACCATTGGTTATTTTTCAAGGTTGTCTTCCACAAAATCATAAGACACATCACTTAAACTAAACAACAACTTACGTAGTTAATGTTATTGATGGAAGAAAGGATAATTTTGAAGTCCTACATTGACTTAAGATGTGGTCAAAATAAAAATTACAAAGGCTAAAATAATCCTCTCATTACTAATTAGCTTTTAACTTTTGAAATTGAGTTAGGTCCAAATATCAAAAGCTACATTGGCCTAAGTACCCAACACAATATTTTGGGACATCTAAGTAATCATCACTAAACACAAACCTCGTCAGAAACCAAGTAGTCAGGGGAGGGGCCCCAAAAGCTAAAAGTATAGTAGGTAATCCATATGACCTTTCCTTGGGATTTAAAGCAAACAATAATCATTGTACGGGTGCAACTGGCCAGCTAGAGTGTTGGTCTGTTGGAATGTTGTTGAGGACAAACTACATTTACAATCAAGATCTCAACTACAATGACGAAACACAAAGGGATTTTTCTTTGCAAATTGAACTGTTCTAAACAAGATATTGTGGCTGTGGGATGCATACGTGAAAGCTTTGATACCTGGCTGAGCTTGGACCCACTAAAGACCATGCAAGCAAGAGAATAAAATAAAGTTTGGCATTAGCTGACCTAGTTGATGGGGCTCTTTCCTACGTTCTAAGTATTTGAATGTTAAATTCTAAGAGTTTGTCGTGTCCAATTGCTCAGCCATGCGATATTTGCACAGTGCTAAATATATTAGCAGAAAACTTAGGTGTTAGTGTTGGTTATTAATTAAAATTAGAATTTAACTTATTAAATTCAAACATTTTTACTAAAATAAAATTATAATTTTAATTGCTAAAATGCACTACTAATGCTTAAAGAATAACATATAAGTTTGTCCAATATATTAGTATGAGAAAATATACTTGTACAATAAATTTATACATTTTTTTTTTGTAGAGAAAAGAAAGACGAGTGATAAGGTAGTGACAGAGTAACTATATTTTATATTGGCATTCAGTCAAAAATTGTCATATAAGAAAGAATCTTCAACTTTTCTCATAATTAATATAAAAGTTATACTTACTATGTATTCTAATTGATTGACAGTGTAGAAACTTTACATTAACAGTGGATCAAAATTAAACTCAATAGATAAATAGAAAAAAATAGTGTTGTGAAAAGGTGGTATATAAGCAATATGACTCAATTAATATCAATTTACGACAGCGTTTTGAACTCAAATGTATTTTTTTATCAATGTGGTTCTCTAAGTCTCTTAAATCCACAAGCTTGAAACATAAGAAAGTACAATTTTTAACTTGATGTGATTTGTATATCTAGAAAAGTAGAGGGGGAAACCTAAAATGTTAAAAGGCTTTATGGTAAGTTGTATCAATTCACTCAGTTATTTTTACTGTTTGAAGATACTGATTCTCCCATATTGCAGCTCAACTTCTTGGTCCTCCTCTATTCTGTGGTTCCTGAGGAGACAAATCATTCAAATTCTACTTCATTTTGGCAGGATTTGCATTCCAACTAGCACTACCCCAGCTTTACACTCTCCACCACTGCTTATAAAAGGAGCAGTCATTCTTCCTCTTAGCAATATCAAGTCTTCAATTCCTTGTAGTCTAATTCTATAGAATCACTCTTTTCCACTCTTTTAATACCCTTAGAGTTAGACTATTATCCTCTATAGTGATTCTCAAATCACAACTTATTATTAATTGTCGTTGCATTAAAGAAATGGCATCGAGTTCAATGTCATCCACTGGCTCATGGAGTGCTAAGGACAATAAAGCCTTTGAAAGGGCTTTAGCTGTTTATGACAAGGACACCCCTGACCGTTGGCACAATGTTGCTAAGGCTGTTGGAGGGAAGACTCCAGAGGAAGTGAAGAGGCACTATGAGCTCCTACTCAGGGATGTTAGGCACATTGAATCAGGTCAAGTTCCATTCCCAAATTACAAGCAAAGTGGAGGGTCTGAAGAGGAGAAAAGGTATATTACATACATTCTATGACCCTTTTCTATCAGTAACAACTAACTAGCTATAAATTGACATCCCTTTGTTCCTTCTTTATATCCTAAGACATTTTAGAGTGAACAATTTAATTAACTGCGAACAAGAGCTTAGGGAAGTATTCATAAATTTGACTCTGAAGCATACCTAAATATGGTAAGAAAAATATAGAAAGGTCACAATCATAACCACAAAGAAGTAGTGTGCGCGTGTTTATACTAACTATAAATTACTTTTTATTTGCTTACCCTGACGTTCCTTTGTTGTCTCTTGTTTTCATTGCAGGCTGAGAAACATGAAGCTCCAGTGAACAAGAAGCATCAACAACAAACAATTTTTTATTTTCATCATCAGCAACTTTTCTAGAATCCTAGTGTTACGTAATATGTTGTGCTAGTGACGTAGTACTAGTGTAGTGATTAGACTATTATTCATAAAAATCATATCCAATGATTCCATATTGTATTGTTGTTGAAGTTGCCTTGAAGAATCAACGACTCTGTTCAAGTTCCCATCATTAATAAAGTTGCAATTTATATGCTTATTTGACATTTACCAAAGTGTACAAGTTTACCTCGTTATCAAGTTGCACACTAATTTCATTCGGTAGACGAATCAAATCTCGATGTAAAACAACTACTGCAGCCAAAACAATACCAAGAAAAATAATTACACAGAAAACCTTATTGAATAATAGCAAGATATAAAGGCTTGAAATTGCTCATGGCTGGGTTCAGTATATATACTTGAAGCCATTGGCATGGAAACCCGAAATGAAGAAGAGGCGGGAAATTCTGCTTTCGAATGTTGGAAGGAATAGCAATGAAATTTTGACACATGGAGGGATGAGGTGTGGTTCAATTGGTATCTTGAGTTGCAAATATCAATTCTACTTCATCGTTGAAATATTTAAAACTTTGTTTTGTTTGATTATATTGCAGTCTACATTAAATATCTAAATATAATTTATAAAGTATGAATTGAAATTCATTCTTTTGACCGTAATATTGCAATTTTGAGAGGTAACTACTAAAATAATGTTATTTGAAAATTAATTAATTGTACAAGTTAATTTAACAATAACTTAGTTATATAAGATAAAGTAAAAATATTATAAAATAAGACGGGACACATGACACATTTTGACAAGTGAATTATTTTTAATTAATAAGAAGATGACACAAGATAGTTTTCTACTTGTGAAAGTAGCTATAACTTTGTTTAGAAGTTAGTTTTTACAGGAAAGTGAGATAAGGGAAAGGTTATTTACGTAGTGATTATCCTTGTCTGTGAATATTTAGATGAGAAGGAAGTTTATAAACCCTCCTTATCTCATATTTTCAAATTTTTCCAATTTAAAAGATTTTGTATTAATTCTCATTTCTCTTTCATTTCTCTCCCCTTTACCTTTCAAACTCTTTCTTTCCATCTCCCTCTAAACTGTCAAACAAAGCATGTTTTCTAATCATCTATTCTGAAGATTATCCTTTTTCCTAGTATACATATTATTCTCAATAATAATATACAACCTTAACTGTTCATGTATAATAATCACTAATAAAGTTATAGACATGATAAACCATATTTTACTATATTTTTAGCCTAGTTTTTTTTAGTAAATAAAGAGTTAAATAGTAAATAAACTTGAAAATATCATAAAAATTGCATTAATATTCATAATTGTATAAATAGTTTAGAATTTTAGATTTTAGTCCAATTCTGAACAATTTGACTCAAAAGTGACTTAATCCTTATGCAGAAGCTTGAGCTGAGAATTTGAGTTGAAGATTAAAGTGAAGAAAGTAAAGGAATTGAGCTTAAAAGATGAAGAATCAAGTGTTATATGAAGGGCGTAATCACGCTGAGTACATAGAGTGAACACTTTGAAGAAGAAAATTCATGAAGATCAAGAAAGTAGCTACTTCAAGTGTTCAAAGTAGCTATGCAATTGAGCGTGTAGCCACTTCAAGTGCCCAGAGTAGCTGCGCAGAGCACGTAGCCACTTTAAGCGTTCAGAGTAGCTACGCCTAAGACTAATTCAGAACTGTGCAGTGCGCGTAGGTACTTCAAGTGCTCAAAGTAGCTACGCAATTGAGTGTTCAAGTGCCCAGAGTAGTTACACAGTCAGCGCGTAGCTACTTCAAGGGTTCAGAGTAGCTACGCAAAAATAATAGAATTTTAAATATCACTTCTAAGTGTCAACTTTGGACGATTTGAGTTCTTAAATCAGTTTTAGAAGCTTCTAAAAGACCTTTGCTGCTAGAATTCTCAGAGAATTAACATGTAGAAAAGCAAAAGACAGGAAAAACCATATAAATAGAAGTTAGAGGTTCAGAAAAAGGGACTTTTGTTCATTTTTGTTATTTTTCACTTTGTAACTATTTTAACTTCCAAGGGAAGTTAGAGAGAGAGATTGAGAGCGACTTTCAAGCTTCATTTTTAGAGGAATCAGAGTAAAGATTGAGTCTTTGGAAGATGTTCTTCTGCTTCTTATCTTCTTCTCTTACTTCTCCTTTCTCCATTGTAATGTTGTTTTAAACCCTTTTGGTTAGGGATCTATGGATCCAGATTTGATGTTGTGATGTAATTGTGGATTGAATCTTGAAATTTTAATTGAATTGAGTATGTGATTATGTTCTTAATGCAGTTGTGAACTAATCCTTCATTCAATTGAAGTTAGAGGAGTCTTCATCAATGGAAATTGAGTTTATTTTTCAGATCTGAATCATATGCCTAGGTTATTGAGATCTTAGAAATAAGTATCATGATCTAGTAATCCTATAATTTCCAGAACTTAATGCAGTATTTGATTAAATTTCACTTAAGGGATTAGGGAGGTTTAATTAGGTATTAGGATCAATGAGGCAAGGAATTGTCCTTTGGTTAAAGAAGTGAAATTGATTAGCAATCAATTAAAATTCTCAAGAGTTCAGAACAAGATTATATTGTAATTGAAAATCTGGTGAAGTGATTCCTAACTATTTTCCATGTAGCATTTTTAATACAAAATTTGTATTTTGTTTTTACAGCAAGTTTATTACCTTTTATTGTCTTTATTTTTTACTTTCACATGTTACAAACCCCTCAAATGAATTGTTTTGCTCAACCAATTGTTAAATTGTGAAGTGGTAATTGAAATAAGATCCTTGTGTATGATACTTGGGGCTCATATTGAATTTCAAATTTTATTACTTGCTATAACTACCTAGTACACTTGCTAGTTAGTTCTCCAAAGAAGTAACAAGTTTTTGGCGCCGTTGCTAGAGATCTTTATTTTCAATATCATTAGTAGCAAGGAGACAACTAGATTGAGCTTTTTGTTCTCTATTTTCTTTTTGAAAATTTTATTTTATTTTTACATTGAATTTCGTATTACATGTTCTACTAGTTTTCCTATACACCTTTGTGTCCAGTTTTGTATAATTTTTGTGTCACTGTATTTTGTGTAGTTACATGTTTAGATGTTATGTTTCTTTCTTAAATTTTCATAGGATATTCTGCTAGTAAATTTTCTGCACTATATTGTTCTATATTTTCATCATTTTCTTTTAGTGTTCAGTTTTTCTTAGTGTTATATGCGTGGAAAAAATAAAAACAAGACTGTTCTTGTGTTTGATCCGAACATAGATAGAACATTGAGGAGGTTGAGAAACGAATTAAGAGCAAAAAATTCAGCAAGGAAAGAGCAAGAATTGGAATCTACAGCTTCTACTCCTAAATCGGAAGAACTTCAAATTCCTTCTCCTACACCACCAACACCTCAAGAGAAGATAATGACTGAACAGAACATGATGAGAACTTTAGGAGATTATGCAGTGCCTAACATGCATGGATATAACTCCTCTATAGTCAGACCTACCATACAAGCCAACGATTTTGAAATAAAACTAGCTTTACTTCATTTAGTTCAGCAAGATCAATTTTCTGGTTCAATTTTAGATGATCTTAACTTACACATCTCTAACTTTTTGTAGCTTTGTGATACAATAAGGATGAATGGAGTTAGCGAGGATGCAATTAGATTGAGACTATTTCTATTTTCATTAAGAGATAAAGCTAAATGTTGGCTGCAAGCTTAACCACAAGGAAGCATCACCACTTGGGCAGACCTTGTTAATAAATTTCTTACCAAGTATTTTCCACCATCTAAAGCTGCCAAACTAAGAGGAGAAATTACATCATTCATGCAGCAAGAGAGGAAATCTTTATATGAAGCTTGGGAGAGGTATAAAGAATTATTGAGGAAATGTCCACACCATTGCATACCGGAATGGATGTAGCTAAAAACTTTCTATAATGGAATGAGTCCAGCCACTAGAACCATGATTGATGCAGCTGCGGGTGGAACATTGAATACTAAGTCATTGGAAGAAGCTCAACGAATTATAGAGATGATGGCTTCATCTATGTATCAAATTTCTAATTCTAGACACTCTACAAGGAGTGGAGGATATGAAGCTAAAATTCTTGAGACTTTTCTTGCACAAAACCAGCTGCAAAGTCAAATGTTTTCAAAACAAATTGCTGCACTAACTCAACAAATAAGCAACTTACAAGCTGCTCCAAATCAGAATGCTCAACTTACTTGTGATTTTTGTGGAGGAAATCATGCTAATGGAGCATGTGATGCATCTACCAATGAACCTCAAGAGCAAACTAATTATATGAAAAATTTTCAAAGACAACAACTTTCATTCCCACCTAGTTTTCATTATCCTAATAATAGAAATCAGCAGTACTCTAATTGGAATACTCAATATTCTGCTGCAAAGAATTTTAATTCTGCTTTACCTTTTTCTGGTGCAGGTCCAGCAACACAACAATCCTATTTTCAAGGGAATCCAGCCACTCAACCTCAAAGGAATCAAAATTCTCCAAGCCCATGACTGAAAGGTTGAATGAAATGGAGGAAACCATGCTGCAATTTATGAAAGTAACCCAAACAAGCTTCAAGAATCAAGAATCTTCCATGAAGAAGCTTGAAACTCAAATTGGACAGCTGGCTGAACAATTGTCCAGCAGAGAAAAGAGGAGATTTCCTAGCAATACAGTTGTTAATCCAAAAGAACAATGTCAGGCTGTAATGACTATGAGTGGAGCTGTTGTGGGGAGCCCCAAACCTACCGAAAAAAGAGAAAATAATCCTGCTGCAGAGGATAAATTAAAATCTGATCTAGATGAAGGAATTTTACCTGCTGAAAAGAGAAAATTCAGAAAAAGAGAATTCCCCAAGGGCTGTAAGGAAGACAAATAGGCAAATACTTGAGGAAGCTAATCAACCTATTGATGAGGAGAAATATAAGAGACTTCCTTACCCTCAAAGAATGCCCAATCCAAAGCAAGAAAAACAATTTGAGAGGTTTCTAGATGTCTTCAAGAAACTTCAAATAAATATTCCTTTTGCTGAAGCACTTGAGCAAATGCCTTCCTATGCTAAATTTATGAAGGAGATGTTATCTAAGAAAAGAAAGCTTGAGAATGATAAAACAATATCTTTGACTGAAGAA